GGGGGGGGGGGGGGGGGGGGGAACTACTGGTGAGTGCTCGTCATAGTGCGCCACAGCTCAATAAATCGACATGCTGTATACCAGGGGCGTCAAACTCATTTTTGTCGTGGGCCGCATTGTAGTTACGGTTTCCCTCGGAGCGCTGTTATGAATTTTGGGAATAACTAGTTTTACAATCAGAAGTCAAGAATAATGACTGTTATTGTGGATTGCATGTGACAAATTGAAATTTTGGTTCAGACTTTAGCAAGCATCATGGAACTTGACATGATTGATTTGCTTTCGCGGGCCACATAAAATGGTGTGGTGGGCCAGATCTGGCCCCCGGGCCTTGACTTTGACACCAGTGCTATATACAGACCTCCTCCTCGGGCTCGTTCAAGTCCACCCATTTCTGCTTCTTTTCGTCCCACACGATCTGACAACGACAACGGGGGTGTCAACGCCGGCCGCAGACTTGAAACGAGGGCAGTTTTTTTTACAAACATCTGAGGCTTACAGATTTGTTTTTGTCGTCCGGTAAGTGAGCCTCACTCTTGCCCTTCCTGTACAGCCAGGTCGTCAGCCAGCCCACACCGCCGCCACTCTGTGTGTGTGTGTGAATGAAGAGTGTGAACGATTCGGAAGATATACTTGTCACAAAAAGTGAGGGATATTTGCCTTGTGAATTTTGCCCTTCATCGACTGCAAGTTGTGCAAAAAGCAATGAAAGATGGAACAGTTTGGCGTGGATTCAAAAGGTGAGACAAGGTAGAATTAACTCATTCACTCCCAAAGACGTATTTAGATGTCTTTTCAAACGCCACACATTTAATGGCCATTTTCAGACCCCTTTTTAAGTACAGTCAATATAAAATGAGGAGCTGGGATTCAATGTGTGGCGTCTGAAAAGACATCGAAATACGTCTTTGGGAGTGAATGAGTTAAGGTCACCTGTAAAATTGACAATGCATTTTAGGTTCAGCTTGAAATTTCAGCCGATAGCGAGAAACCAGGATTTTTGTTGTTGTTGTGTGGATACCTGTAGTGTAACAGGTAAAGCAGAATATCTGCGTGACAAAAAAATGAAACCTTTTTGGGAGAGTCCTTCTTGGCTTTCTTGGTCTCCTCCTTGCGGGGCTGCTCAGGAATGGAGGGAGGCGGCGGAGAAGCCTGCTTGACAGCTGAATTGCTCCTGTCACGTCCGCCGGAGTGAGTCGAGGACTCAGAGGTGGTGCGAGAGCGCCGTCCCGACGCCTGAAAATTAAGAAACGCGTGTCAAAAAAACACACTCGTCAATATGTCACACAAGCGACAATGCAGCAGTTTTTTTTTCCCAAGCTCTGCTGTGGCTGCATTTCAAATCATAAACAAATGCATTATTTGGGGAAATTTAAATAGTAAATCGCAGAAATAGTAAGAATTTTTTTTTTTAACAGTTCATTTCAGGAGAAACTCACCCGGTGCACTGAAGACTGCGACGTGGTCCTTGACCTCCTGCCGGGAGCCTGCACAAAACATTGAGCCCGTAAGTACCGCAAGTCTCGCAAGATGTTGACAAAAGACATCCAGTCCTGACCATCTGTGCCATGTGGTCATAGAAGTCCATCTGCGGCGGAAAGGAGCTTCTGAGCGGGGATATCGGTTGGTTGATTTGCATCTCCGGCGATGTGCCCGCGTGCCCGGGCGAAGGTGGCATTTGCGCCGGCATCGGAGGCGGCTGCTGCCCCCCGTGCGCCGGCGAATGGGGGACCTGTGGCGGAGGCATGAGGGGTGACGTCTGGCCCATATGAAGGGGCGGGGGACCTGGCTGCTGGTGAGCTCCTGGGTACATTTCCGACTGCATGGGCGGAGGGTGGAAGTGGGGATGCGCGTAGGCGGGATCGTGCGGAGGGTAGCCTGACAAAGGAATGTGTCCGGGCGGCCCACTGGGTGGTACTGGGTAGAATTGTGGCATATCACCGTGGGCTTGATGTGGGGCCGTTCCATCTTGGAGGATGGAGGTGGGAGCTGACGGAAACGTGAGATTCTCGTCATTCAGGACGGAGTTGGAAAATGGATTCATCCTATTGACGCACAAACCTGGAGGCATCAGCTGTATTCCCTGTGGAGGAGGCCCCGGCAGCAACGAGGTCATCAACGGATTGTGGCTTCCTGGGCCATCCAACTCCAGCGGCGTGTTGTAAGGTTCAGCGAGACTGGGCTGATCCAGGTCCGAGCTTGGGCTGCTGCTGGTGAATTGTGTGGGGCTTGATCTGTCAGCAGCGAAAGTAATTGCCCCCGTCTGAAGAGGAACACAAGTAACATGAGGTGTTTTTTTTTTTTTAAACTCCGAGCTACGCTTCCTGGGATGCCCAATAATCATCTTCCGACTTACTTTGATCTGCCCATCCAACTGTCTGAGCTGGATCAACCAATCAGGCTCAGTGAACAACTCCTGCTCGGGCCTTTCTTTCAGCTGGGGGTCAAAAATTCTCAGCTTTTCCGCCATCTGTCAAATTACAAACATCAGTACTGTTCAGCGCTGCAAAACAGGCAGCATTGTTTGTGCAATATGAACACCTTATACACCGGAGCTGTGTGCTCGATACACAGACAATTCGAGTAAATTGTATATAGAGACACAAGAGGCGCTTACCTGAATGACTTGGCTAATGAATACAGGGGAGTAGCACGATGGCTGCATGAGGATCGTCCGAGAGATGACCTCACAGTAGTGGAACGCCTGAGCGCTCAAGCCCGCTTCAGCCAAACGGCAGGCGTAGATCAACTTGAAGACCTTACCCAAGACGCATTCAAAGTCAGAGAACAGCACAGGTCTTCATTCGATGAGCAGAAACTCGGTGGCTGCACACATCTACCACATCGGCGTTTGTTTACATTCTGAAACTCATTTGAAAGAAAATACCTGGAAATTGGGTAGGGAGCAAGGCTGGGAGCCCAGAGACTGTGCGTACTCATAGGCTTCCGTCCTCTGGATTGCGTCATTGGTCGCAAAGTGGTAGAAGGGTAAACTGACGTGGATATAGAAAAATTTGATTTGACTGAAAATGATTACATCAGGGGATCATGAAACACAGCTACACACGTCCACATCGGTCCCTCACCTGTGGTTGGAGCCGATCAGAACCATCTTGGTGCTCTTCTTGGTGTAAACGCCAAGGTCGGTTTGAGCCATTAAGTAGCAGAAGTGTGCCGCGTCAATCAGCCCCTTTGAAGCTAACAAACACACACACACGCGTCTTGTGCGGTGTTCATGGCTTGCGAAACGCGTCCGGCTGCGGCGACTGCCTACCAAGAGTGTCTCCCATTGTGGTGATCGTGCGAGAGTCCAGGTCCAAAGTGTGTGTGAGGTTCGACAACACCATGGCCAGGTGAGGGCGCCAGTCACCCCACTTCTCCTCTCCGCAGCACTGCACAAACGGCAGAAATGTCAAGTGTTTCAACTCATTCACTCCCAAAGACGTTTTTAAACGTCTTTTCAGACTTGGTCCAGAATTGGCTGGTACTGAATGAGTTAAAAAAAAAAAAAAAACTAAACATTCCATACCCCAATATAGCAAAATATTGTAAATGATTCTACATAGTGTTAAATAAAACACTTACTGTAGCTGATGCAGGCATCCTACCCGACATGAGTTGGTACACCGTCTGGAGCGGGTCATTGATGGGCAAACTGTTGGCAAACCTGTCGAGCAGATGAGAAATTCGAAAATCAGTTCACAAGTCTGTGTGCTGTGTGGTTTTTAGGGGGGGGGGGGGGGAATTATCTGAGTCATAAATGGAAAAATCGATAGGAGAATCGATTCGCAAAAAGATTTTCGTTGATGACATCCCAAATCATCACAGAGCTTTCATTAAAACCTGTTTTGAATTGTCCCCCAAAAAATGGTGTCATCTCTGTGCCTCGATATGTGAACGGCGATTGGCTGGCAACCAGTCTGGGGTGCACCCTGCTGCTCCTAAAAGCAGCTGCGATCCCCGTGATCCTTGTGAGGATAAGCTTTACGGCATAAAAGCCCAAAGTATGTTCGTCGTCACCTTGTCATGACACGTGCATGTGTCCTGTTATCCATCTTACTGGCCAGCAGGAGAGCGTGACCCCACAGACCAGATTTCATAGCTGCTTCAAGCGCATCCTGTTCAGAAGTAGAAAAACCAAGCCCGTTTCAGATGGAGCAGGCAGACAAACGCAGACAACATCAAAGAGTGAGTTCTTCTTACCTTCTTGCGACCAAAGAGCAGCAGCTCCCTGAAGCGTTCCGTTTCTTTTCCGACATTTTCCGGGACCGTCATGAAGGTGTCCGACAGGAGGGACAGCGGTCCGGCTCCTGGCTCCTCCTCCGCTCTGGCCAGCGGCTCGTTGTTGAAATCAATCAGGTTTGCTTCGTTGGGACTCTTGCCCGGCAGCCACACGGACCGATGCTCCTTCAGCAACAGGTCGGCGATGTCGGTGCCGACCACGGTCTTGAGGGGAAAAGTGTTACGTTGAGAGAATTGCACCAGCTATTCAAAAATAAAATCAAATCAAGTAGAGTAAACCCACCAGTGTGCAAATAATGCTCACCCACTTGTGACATTTTCTATCGAACGTAACTGAAACGATGAACAGTGTATTTTTTTTTCTTCCTATTAATCCTTAATTTGGATTTCTGCAGGGGATGTAAAGCGGTGACATTCCAATAAAATTCTTTGAAACGAAATTATCTGTTTAATTTGAAAAGGAAATGTTTTAAGATGAGTTTAAAATGGTCAATTGTTTTTGAATAACAGTTTGGGGTATGTTTAAGGTTTAAATTATTGATATAGGCAGTTAGTAACCTGGATTGGAGGAGTGTCCACTAGTTGGACATTGTTGCTGTCCGCGTCAGGGCTTTGTTGAAAACTCCCGCAAACAGCAAGGCGCGACTGTACATCCTGCGGTACGGCAATCTTACCCCATTCTGTCTACACAGCAGCACAATGAAGTCCCAAAGTAGGCGGGCGGAGTCTCGGTCTAAGAGGCTGTCGTCATGGGAACACGCTACCGCCTTGTTCTGGGAGAACTTTATCACATCCACCTTGTGGGTCTCCTCCCTGAGAGGGATGATGTCAAATGTGAGGGGGGGGGGGGGGGGGTGGTGAAAAAAAAAATAAAAGACCAAAACACTTACTTGACAAGCGGTCCGGGGAAAGCTAGTAGTTCTTCCTGATCCAAAGTGTTCTGCAGCATTGTCTGAAAAGTTCAAATGAACCATTTTTCAATGACATACTTGATTAAAGCAACACAAAACAGTTACTGCCTCCAGTTTTCAATGACATACTCGATTAAAATAACACATCACGTACCTCCAAGTTGTGAATATCAACGAGCGCAGGCTGTCCCGCTGAGGGAAGATTGGGCAGAACTTGGACGAGATGACCACCGGGCCCAAATCGGGCACAACGGTGGGGCATGGTGAACTTCTCCGGAGTGGCCGGACGAGGGGGCGCTACATGGAAAATGTTGCTCACGTTAAGTGTTGAGTGCGTGGTCACTGACTTGAGGCAAGAAGGCGTACGTACGCTGTTCGGGCGTGATCCAGGTGCTGTCTGTCGTGTACTCAGAGGAATAGTGGTACTGGCCGTAGTTCTGGGATGCGTCAGTCTGGTGTGGGTACTGTCCATAGGAGTAGTCCGCAGCCAGCGTGGATGATGTGGCATCATAGACAGCTGAGACCAAGTCAGGCTGGCTCCTGTAAACTTGGCTCTGCTCAAGTGCGAGGGGAAGACAAACGATACTTTTTAAGTCAGCAAAGTGTGAAATGTGGGCTTTTTTTTTGTTGTTGTTGTTGAATGCGGAAACCACAAAAGTCTTTATGACAAAAATGGATTTTACAGTGGCTCAGAACAGAATCATTTCAATTTTTCAGACCAATTCACAATGACAAAACAAAAAAAAAAACCACATGTACCTGTTGGGACCTGGAACTGAAGCTGCTGCGTCTGCTGTGATGGCTATGAGAGCTGTGCACGCTGTGGGCAGACTGCTCGCTGTGGACGCTGCGTCGGTCAAAGTCGTCGTATGCGTCGGCACCGCGCCGGCGGTAGTCGTCGTCGAAGCTCCTGTCATAACCGGGGTAGTAGAGCCACTGGTCATCAGATCCCTCTTTCCTGTGACAAGTCGGGTTTGATGTTTACATTAGCAAGCCAGTCCAATGACAGCAACGTTTCAGCACATTTTGCTTCATATACCTGACAGGATACATTTGTGGATTATAGTAGTTGTCCCTGCTTCTGTAGGCGTCATCGTAAGTGGACCAATAGGACTGATCATAGTATCCTCTGTATCGGGGGTCATACTGTCCATAGTTGTATCCTTATAAAGAGAACAATTATTTTTTCCCTTACATACATAGATAATATTTTGCAGGGTATTTTTTCCCCCCGATAAAATTCTGACACTTAAAAGTTTCATACCTGCATAATCATAGTGCTTGGCGTAATTTGCATAATATTCATCATAGGCACTTCGGTTAGCTCTGTGATAGTCCTCGGGATAGCCTTGCCTTCAGGAGAAGGACGCCAACAAGACAAAGATCAGGTACATACATATTCAAGATAATATTCTGCATGAATGAAAATTTGGTCCACACGGGGACCGTTGTGCTGACCTGGATGGGGGCCGGTCGGAATACTGACTGGCCCTCGAGCTGGGTCGCTCCGGCTGAGGCTCTCGGTACTGATAGTTTGGGTCGCGGTAAGCTGGGTTGGGGCCGTCGTACCTGCCATACCAAGGATCTCTGCTTCTATATGGTCCCTCCTGAGGAGAGAATAGGAATCCACAATCTGTGACTTCTAGATCCCCCCCCCCCCGCCCACCACACTAAGTCATAATTTTAGGTAACTGCAAACGAGCAAGAGAGATTATTTCTTCTTAGCCATACCTGATAATACTGCTGAGCTCTGGGATCCCCGGGTGGGTATGGACCAGGAGGGTATGGCGCTCGGCCGTCAGGGTAGTCGCCATAGTTTCCGTAATAGCTTCCATACATCTGCCCCGGGCCGGGAGGAGGGGGCCCATAGCCATGCTGGCTGCCAGCGGAAGAGGGTGGTCGTGGCGGCTCTGTGGGAGCTTGCTGGGAAGACCCGGGAGGGAGAGGCCCTGGAGGAACGCTTGCAGTCGCAGGACCTTGCATCTGGGTTGGAAACTGTCCGGGCGATGGCCCCTGTGTGGCAGCATTTGCCTCTGGTATCCTTGCGGGTTCTGTTTGGGGCTGCTGAGTGTTTGCGCCTGCTATGGAGGAAGACTGTGGAGCCCCCGGGTTTGACGAAGAGGCCGACGTGACCGGAGGGGCAGATGACGACGGAGCTGTCGGGACCAGTGGGGCGGATGGTGATGAAGCTGGCAGGACCGGTGGAGCGGATGATAAAGAAGCTGCCACGACCTGCGGTGTAGCTGAAGGGCCTGAGGTCTGAACAGGAGCATTCCTGTCCAGTCTTAGCCCTTGTTGCGCATCTTTTGTGACCTGCATGTAAAATCCATTACTGGACTGCGGAGACTCGTGTAAAGCAGAAGGATGGCCAGATGCTTGATTTTGGCTCTGTGATTGGTGCATAGAAAAATCAAGGAGTTCATAATTTGAGGGCTGATTGTGATTGGTGACGGACGCAGCCGCGAGAGATGTCAGCGGATTTACCGGGAGAGCAAAGTTCGGGTCTCCACTCAACGACTGACCATGAGTAAAAGAGGGCCGGACGGGTTGGGTCTGCGCCGAAGTGATTGCGGAAGTTGCTGCCTCGGCACTTTCTCGAGTCAGATTGAGCGGGACTGGATTTGAGGTAAGAGCAGGTGGGCCAACTGGATTCTGATTGGAGGAAAAAACAGGTGCACGGGATATACCGGCACCCTGTCCGAGTGTTCTAACTGGGGGTGTACTTACACTGGCTGCATGAGCAAAAGTACTGGGGGAAATCACGCAGTTGGACACGGGTGGTGCAATCAGAACAGGCTGTTGGAGCGATTCAGACACAAGGAGAGAGGCATAGCCCAGGTTGCCCTGAGAGTCCGCAGAGTCTAACTCACTCACCTTTGGTGGGTTCTCAAGGTTCTCTGAATTTTGTTGTGGGATTCTCTGAGGAGGTTGAAGATCCAGCGGACCATCCTCTGGAGGCTGTATGACATCTGCACTAGGCTCCCTAAGCGGAGCCAGAACGGTCGGGGCAGCGGGTGCCAAAACAACGCTGGCGGCCAAGCCGGAAGGATCACCCTGCGCCCATAAAGTCGTGGCAGGGCTCTCGCAGGGACGATTGGCGCCAAAGGTACGCGATGATGGTCGGGAGTGAGACTGAACCCCGGGGTTTGGCGGGTGAGGCACACCAATAGGCAGAGGGTGACCTGGCCCGTAAATATTTTCCATGTTATCTGGTGGCTGCTCGAGATTACCCGGCGTAGGATCCGTGCTCCCTTCCGCGACCATTTTAGCTCTGTCGACCTCGGCAGGGCGCACCCCGACGCCGTGTGATCGGACGGGCTCAAACGAGCTGTTAGCACTGGCCTGGAAGGTCCCTGTAGGTTTTGGGGGGCTCGGCGTAGTGGGCCATGTTTGGTCCGAAGTGTTCGGCGGTGTGGCCACGTCTCCAGCTGGGTAAGAGTCGATCTGTTCAAAGTAGCCTCCGGCGGCGGCAATCGGAGCAGAAGGCAAGTTATGGTCCTCGGTGAGGCGCGGGCTTTCCTGCTGAATAAAGGTACCGACTACGCCATGGTGTCGACGGCCGGCTGTCCCACTTCCGTGACTCATGCTGCTGTAGTTTGATGATGCACTTGCAGATCTCATTGATCTGGGAATAGAATCCGGAGTCTCCAGGTTGGGGCCAGTTTCATAGGTATCCACTCCGTGGGCTGCAGGTAAGCCAGGAGGACTGCCGTGGATTTCACTGGGCAACACTTCCTGGTTTGGGACGCACTCCAAATTCTCAACATGGTCATACCGGGAGTCAGGGGGTTTTGAACTCCTTCCTTGTAACGCGGCGTTTCCGTCGTTCATATATGGTATGTGTGAATTTTCCTGAAAATGGGATCCTTGGTTATCAGAAGGAACACCTGCAGGACCACTGTGGGCTGGTGGCGCACCTTGCGGATTACTCGGAGGCCGCGAGGACTCAGGAATACCGTTCAAGACCTTTTTTCGCTCTCCTGCTAAGGTTTCCTCATTTTCTACATCATCGTTGAAAAACATAGAGAGTGTACCGGTATCTTGAGGGTATGGAACTGTCGTAGCGGCAGAGTCTTGCTGGGGACCCATGTTAGGTACATGATGGGCTCCAGAATCTGACTGAGGCTGTAAGTGTGCCGGGGCAGTCCCCATTTGATGGTAGGCTGGGTCCTGCGGCCCTCGACTGAACCACCCGTCTTGCAGGGCAGAGGTCTGCATGAAGTAGCTCTGGTGTTGTAAATGCGAGTTATGCTGTTGAGTCGGGTTCTGGTCTGGAAGAGGATTCTGCATCTGGGGATGCCCAAACTGTGTCGGAGGGGTAGGAGCGTTGGATGGGTACATCTGGGACTGCGGCTGCGTATTAAAAGGCTGCTGTGGAGGGTCACTGGTAGGCTGAAAATAGTTCTGAACGGATGGAGGGCGACTTCCGTGATCGGAGGCCCTTTGAGAAGAGGAGGCGGCAGGAGGCACTGGCTGGAAGGGAACAGGCTGAGGGGGAGACTGCGCATGGAATTCCTGATTCATTGTCTGACTTGGTACTGGGGCTGATGGCACAGATGGCGGCGTTGCGGTTGACGGACGCTCTCTCGAGTTCAAGTAACCTTGCTCAGAATGCGATGGTGCATATCCCGTACGAACGTCGGCTGCGGCTGAACTGTGAGGGCTGAACATGGGCACCGCTGGCAAAGAACACAGCGGCGGGCCAGCTGGAGCAGCTGGGACACCCTCCAGTGTCTGTGGTTGCATGGCCAGACCTGGGCCTGCCCTTGTGTAGGTGGAATCGGGCGGGGCTTGTGTTAGCGGAGAGTTGCTGTGGGGTACCGGGACACCCCCTGCGCCCATAGGAGGTGGGGTGCGAACAAAAGCAAATGGGTCCATCATGGGTTGGGTAGAGGGCGGCATTGACGCATTAGCTGCTGCTGTATGCTTCAGTGGCCTGGTCCTGCGGAACATATTTGGCCCGGAAGGAGGAGGAGGCCCGGAGGCTCCCGGGGGTCCAGTCCGAGGAGGGGGCTGCATGGCAGCAGAGGCGTAACGATCAAGTTGATCCAGAAGATCTCACAGAAGAAGTTGAAATCAGTTGGAGCTGGGTGGAGAAAGAACAGGCTGTTAACAAAAGGCAACAAGTGGACATTACCACACCTATGTTTGTGCAGTCGTCTTCTGTGCCGTTACATCAAACTGGACAACGTGGCACCTGGCTAAGTACACCCTGGCCTGGTTGTCAGCCAACCACATGCCACATAAAGACAACCATTTGTCCATTTGTGTAAATGTGAGTGTGAATGCTTGCTCATGACCTGTATACTATGCTCCCTACTTCTCCCTCCAAAAGTCATCTTAGTTGCAAACAGTTTTACATGTCGCAAACACGGCGAATCCATTGTTTGGCTTACAGTGTGAAATGTTGGGAAAACAGTTCTAAGCATTTGTAAACGAGCGTAAGGTATGTCACCAAAGTGCTTTTTCTAATTTTCACCAATGTTAGAGGCCATGTGATCATGGTCCTCGAATGTCGACACATCTGCCACTCCGTGACATATCAGCACAAATTTTCCACATTGATCATCATGCCACATCAAACAAAGTACAAAGCAAGCAATGAGGAGTATCCCGTGTTACACCGGCTTGGATGAGTTTAAGGGACACAAATAGCAAAAGAGAGTGGTGAAGCAGTTCACGAAAGAGACATTTGAAGACATGGGTCCCCGCGTACCAAGCTCTAAGTAATAAAGTTTTTTTGTGCATCCATGAGTGTGAATCCTTAGTTGTCTTAATGTGCCAGACCAGAGTGAAGCTAGCTTCTTGCTGCAAGTCAGCTGGGACAGGCTCGAGCTATCGAACTGTTCTGCAATAAACACCCCTCAGTTGGCCGGATGGCCACAAAAATTTCGTTTTGTTAGCCCCCCCGACAAACGCGATATTGAAATGTTATCAATTGCCATTTGTTGAAAATGCAGCCACTCGAATATTCTTCCTTACATACATTATTAAGTAGCAAAGCGTCAACTTCCTGCAAGGAGTTCTTGTTTGCTCGACGGCTAACACATCTTAAACCCCCTCCAACATGTCCTTAACACCCTATCTAGCAAAACACGGCGCTCCAACGATGCCTGAATTCTGAACTCGCGAACAGCCCTCGTCGAAACTTCCTCCCTGCCAAATTCTCAATCGACGAGGGCTCTCCGGCGAACCGTCCCGAGTGACTTGTCACCCGGCGATTACATCTTGACACCAAGCTTCACTACCCCCTGTGTGCTAACGTTAGCATTCGAGGACTTGTTAGCATCGCCGCTAGCTAGCCTATGCTAACAGAAGGGAGGGGGTGCGCTTTAAGCTTTCCGCGTCAAACCGGGGCATTAAACTCAGACATGAACGGTGTTGTTGTTGTATGGACGTGTGTGAGTACACACATCGTACAGAAAAAAAAAACGTACAAGAGAAAATATAAAGTCTTACAAATGCGCAGGACAGCGAGTTTGACACACCGCCACCATCTTCGATGGCCACATCCTACTAGGCTACGTGTACAAGTGGCGTCACCGGCCAAACAACAACGACTTCCTCACCGTTAGCAGAGGCCAATTTGTTCCTTTAAAGGGGACATACTTTATTTCTGAATGAGAAAAAAAAAGGGCAGCACAATCTACTTGAAAGCATCGTCTGTGTAACATCGAAGCAGATGTTGTGTGTATGTCAGTTTGCACCTCAGAAACAGCGAGACAAACAGTTTTCGCAACTCATGCAGTTTTTTTCGAGCATTTTTATTGAGACTTGGAATCAAACTGTTATAAACACACAGTTTTTGTAGAACAAGATGTATAAACGTCTATGGAATACCAAAATAAGCAACACGCAAAAAATAGCAACAAAACAAAATAAGACACAGCAAACTTTCGTTCAAGGTCAGCTCTCTAAGAAAATGCAACGTTCAAACGATTCTTCAATTTTACTGTCAAAGTATGTACAAGACTAAAATCTACAATGGTCTTTTACTTAATGATGGAGAAGGTGAGGTGGACGCCCTTCTCACATCATGAGGAGATGCCATGCCATCTGCCCCACCCGTTCCACGCCCCTCTGCACATGGTATGTTGGGTTCCACATTAAAAAAAATATTAAAAAGTACCACCCCCCTGCCCCATATTCTGCATTCCGATTTTGCACAACTAGGGTACATTGTCCGCATTTTACAGCTTGACGAAAGATTCCTGGGAGGCGCGTCATACAAAATCTGTCCATGTGGAGTTGCCGTACTATTTCCGCTGCGTCTCTCAATAGATAGATAGATAGATAGATAGATAGATGATTAATCCCGAAGGAAATTATACATTGTTCTGTTCTTTACATTTGCACAAAACAGTTACATTATCAATAAAATATAATGCAAAAGACAGATAAAAATAAATAAATTTCCAGACTCTATATAAACGCTTCAACATGTACTCTCCAAATATTCAAATATTTCATGTTCTGAGGGCTGTTTGTGCTTTGTGAACAGCAGTCTCCAGCATAGTGCGCTCTCGAAGCAGCTGGTGGAGAACATCTGAGTCCAACTCCAGCAGCATACCTACGGTACACGCACAGTAATTACAACAGTAATTAGGAACATGATATGGCCTGAAAATAAAATTTCCCAATTTGTTTCCCCCCAAAATCCCATTTCTAATTCTAATCGGTGGGGGGGGAGCAAATGACGATGACATAATCTAATCATCCCTTACACTGAAAACCTTCCCTGATGTGGCATTTTTGTAGGCTACAGTGGGTATGAAAGACCACACATCCCAATTCGTACGTTTTTTGTGATTAAAAAAAAAAAGAGTGTGTGTGTGAGAGAGAGAGAGAGAGAGAGAGAGAGACCAAGATAAGGAGTTGAAGATGATGTCAAGTGTTGAATTGATACGCAATTACAAACCTATTTTAGGGGCAGCTGTGAATTATTTGTGGATTTTTGCTATTTTGAGACTTGATTCTATGGCTCACCAGTGATTTCATGCGCGTGAAGCTGGTCCAGTTCCTGCACCCGCAAGAAAAGCTTCTCTCCCAACCCTTCTGTGTCCTCTGTGTCCGACGTGTCGCTTACGTCTGTCGCCCCAATGCGCTGCCTGCATGGACATGCGCACACGTGAGTAGAGTAGAAGCTCCAAATTACTATGCCCCTAAAGTCATACTACATAGAAATTGGCCAAAGTTTTTGGTGAGCATCTTAAGCATTAGTGTTCTGACAAAAAATTAAAATAAATGACAAAAAGTACAGAGTAAAACATTTTTGCTGTCCTGTGGCAAAATAAAAACATACAGATTTTTTTTCTTTCTCTACCAATACATAAAAATATTGTATATCTACATTTACTGTATACATGAAGATTCCACTTTTGAATTTGCAGTCTGTACACTCATGAGCAAAAGGGACTTACTGTTTTAAGGTCTTGAGCGCTGCATTCAGCTGCTCTTCCAGCTGTTTGGGGTCTGAGAGAAGCTTTAACACAGCTTCCTTGTGCTGCTCCAGTAACATGCCTTGTGGAATTAAACACAACCGCATTTTTACATGGTGATTTCAAGTCAGAAAAAAAAAAAGTGAATTGTGTGAACATTGTTGTCATACAGTACATACGACTAACCTGTGATCTTTTGTGAGTATCCAGTGTTGTAAACGTCCACTAGGTCAAAAAGCTGTTCGCCCAAAGAGTCAGAAGACACGGAGCCATCGTCTTCTTCCTTACTTGTTGTTTTGCTGCAACAGTCGAAATAGTATTGAGGCTACAACTGAATCGGGGCTGAAAATCACATTACAGGATTAAAGACGTCATTTTACGAGAATAAACTAAAATATAAACTTGTTTTCCAAATAATTTCAGTTTTTTACCTTTTCAGCATGGCCCAAATATCAGCAACACACCACAATTACAATACTAATAATTCCATGCCAATTTTATTCTAAACTAAAATATAAACTTGTTTTCCAAATAATTTCGTTTTTTTTACCTTTTCAGCATGGCCCTAATATCAGCAACACACCACAATTACAATACCAATAACTCCATGCCAATGTTATTATCCAGTGTTTTTCTTTCATGTACCTGGACTCTTGGTGCAAATCGACCTGCAGGGCCTCAACAGCTTTCTCTACGGCCGTTGCAAGCATGGCCTCATCCTGCAGCATCTTACTCAGGACAGGTGCAGGAAGCTCCAGCAGCATACCTGCGGAAGGAAAAACACCCAGCACACATGTGAATTATTATTTCTGAAGGAAATATACATGACACAGTCACCCTCACCTGTAAGTTTCCCAGCGTGCTCGCTGTATTTGGGGAAAATCAGAGTGTATAGCTGCTCGCCAAGTGTCTCCACGTTGTCTTCTGTGTCCATGTTTCCTCACATTTGTCACTGTGGTCTGCCTTTTGCTTAGTGCCTCTTAAACAAGATTAAAGCTACAGTGGATTGAGAAAACACATTTGTTTTGGCAGGCCTTCCACTAAGACTATTTTATTTTTTAATGGGTTTGATTGAAGTTTCTTTCCCGACATTAATCATAAAATGTTGTGTTTCTGTACTTGATATGGATGCATTTTATAACTATGTGAAGCAATTTGTGAATCCGCTCTAAAAAAAGTCACATGTAAATAAAATGTTTTTACTTACATTTGAGCATTGGTCACGTTGTACCAAATTGTGTCGGTTTTTCGCGAGTTTTCCCATTTCGTAAAATTTCTGGTTTGATAATATTATCGAGGCCTAACAGCGCCATATAATTACTTCAGCGTTCGTTTATTTACTCATCTTTACATGCAATGGTGTGGGTTTTTTTTTGCCTGTACCGTTACTGAGGGTTACAACTTGAATATCGAATGACTATTCATCAACAAGAGGCGCATGATGATGACGTTCCGCATCGACGCGTTAAGTGTGGATGTATTCATCCGCCGCTTCCGTGATCAAATAGAACCAAACGTTTATTTTTAATGTTTATTTTTAATAATATCAGAGTAATATATAAATAGTTTAATTTATGAATATGGATAATTTAAAAGCATATTATCTACTGAGCGTTGTTTTTTTTTCTGGCAATAAACAACAAACGCGGATTGATCGTTTCCTTGAGCTGAGGAAAAGCGGTTTCCGCTTTCTCTGCTCCTTTTCCTCTGCTGAAAGGTAACGTGGTCGTTTCAGCTATTAGCGGCCGCTCATTAAAAACAGAAAATTCCAGCTTGTTCAACGTTTTTTGTTTGGGACATTTGCGTACGATTACATTGTTGGGTTGGTTATTTGTCACCCAATATAAGAGGAAGTTGACTTGCATAGTGAAAAATCGGAAAATCGCGTCGTGTTGGTAAGGCCTCGCCGTGCGGGGCTAGCATTAGCAAACGGGCATCTGTTCGCTACCACACAGTTGGTCAATAAACGTTAATGTGTTTTTGAAAAACTCTATATAAATTCTAGTTATGGAGTCCCCATCACACATTCTTTGTTGTTAGTCCCAACAATTAATATGGAGGTGCTCGTTGTTTGCTTGTGGAATTTAGGGAGAATGAGCTGTGCTGAAATTTTAGAACGATTAAATTTGGATCATAAATGTGGAAGGTGGGGGCTTACCTTTGGCAATTGTATTGTAAATTTATGGAATTTTTGGAATGTGGGAACTCCTGCAATATGGAAAATAAATCGCTAGAATCTAGATGTTTTAAATGTGAAAAGTTGACTTTGGAACGGGAGTGATGAGAAGATTGCAGAATTCTAGTAAATAGCTGCCTGACATGCTTTGACACAATGACAAAGTTGAACATAATTTCATCTAATGCTTTTCAGGTTCATCATGTCGGCCCATTTGCAGTGGATGGTGATCAGGAACTGCTCCAGCTTCCTCCTCAAGAGGGACAAGCAGACCTACAGCACTGTGAGTCGTGTGAAATTGTGACCTTAAATTTCCATACCAAAACACTAATACGATTTACACTCCATCTAATGTTGGAGCGCTGGAAGACAAACGTTAGCATCCAACGTTAGCTGTCTTTCTTCGGTGTCAAACCCAGAAAAGGCAATCTGACTATGTCCCACGCTAGTTACTAGTTCTGTGAAGTGTGCGTCACTGCTAATGGTCTGTTGGCTGATGGCAGGAGCCCAACAATCTGAAGGCCAGGAATTCCTTCCGCTTCAATGGGCTGGTGCACAAGAAGACGGTGGGCGTGCAGCCGGCGGCTGATGGCAAAGGAGTGGTCGTCGTGATCAAGAAGCGTGCAGGTAAGGGCAATTTTAGAGCAAAAGCTACCTCTACATTTGGATGCTGTACTAAAAAAAACATTTGTTCCCGAATTAACTGTACTAAAGCTCTCGGAAAGCTATTTGCTTGCATGCCAAGATAAAGTTTTTTTTTTCCCCTCAGGTCAGCACAAGCCAGCCAATTCTTACAACAAGATCACCATCAACAAGAACGGCCGCGCCACTCTCAACAGCGTGAGGCACATCATTCGCAAAAACAACTACAGGAAGGATCTACGCATGGTCAGAATTGCACTTGGGCGGAGAAAAAAAAATTGTTCCCATCATGAGCCTGATTGTCATTTGTCATCATTCCCACCAGGCCGCCCTGCGTCGTGCCAGCGCCATTCTGAAGAGCCAGAAGCCTGTGGTGGTCAAGAAGAAACGCACCAGGGCTACCAAGACAGCATAAATAGATAGGCCACATAATGCAAAATAAAAGCTTTTTGTTTGGAAAAACGTTTTTGTGTCCTTTTTTTGTGGTTTCGAGAAAGGTTGGAAACACTGACTTCATATACATAAAATCAGCATCCCATGTCGGAACACCGGGATGGATTTTTGGAACAGCCCCGCAGGCAGCTTTCCATCCCATCGCACTAGAACGTCAAGCCTCCCCTCCTCCCTTTGGTGTTAAAACGCAAAGCACAAATCAATCGACGGCAAACTAATCTCTTTGAGTCGCGTTCCCGCTTGTTGCCGACCATGAGGCCCGCATTAGTGTCGCTTCCCCTCGTCACCGTGCATATGCTGCTGCTGACGGGAGATGGCTTTGAGCTGCAGGACACCATCCACGAGCTCATCGAGGAGAACATCCACCTCCACGACCAGCTGGATAACCTCACGCAAGCCCTCGGAAAGCTCCGACGCATGCTCTGGCATCATTCCAATGGTAGCGCCTGCGCCTTTTAAGTATCAATGCCACGACGGAAACAATTCATATTTGCCTTTTAAAGAACAATGAAATAACTTTTTTTAGTTTTCTGAAATGTGCAGCCTACAGGGTAAATACAACGCCTTTCATATATGGTGTCTGTTTTTAATTTCCTATTCATGTCATTACTATCTATAATCCTCCCCGGCAGCCAGCATTTAGTGCTATGATCCTATAATCCACAGAATGTGATAAATCTCACCCTGCATTTGATGCGACTACATACATTTTTATTTTTAAATATTTTTACTTTATCTGTACTTGTAATCTATTTTGTCATTATCTGTTACTTGCTCAGTTTCACGCTATATTCATTTTATGCTATTTAAATGTTTGTATTTTTATTTCACATTTTTTAAAAGTTTACTTGCGCGACGTCCTCAGCATTGAAACATTTTCCTAAAGCCTACCAAATTTACTGATTCAAGCTAGGTTGTACATGTTTTTGTTAATTACATGAAAATATATTTTGTAATATTCGTCTTCCTCTGCGTTGAGAATTGTTTTTAAATCTAAAAATACATTTTATTTTTATGCTTTGAGCTGATTTAGTTTTTAGCTAAATTGTTTCAAGCGGTCGCATTTCTTATACGCCTCAATAAAAATGTCATTTTGAAGTATTTTATCAAAGCCAGCAAGACATGCCACAAAATAGCTTGATCTTTCTCTCTCTCCCTAACTTAATTAAATGTTATCATTTATTAATATTACACCAAAATTGCATTTCATCTTTAATTTGTCCACATTGCCCGTGTGCGTTCTGCTCTTGTGTCTTCATAGACCCGACAAATCACGAGCACTACGAGCATCACAACAAAGACATCCAGCATCTGTGGGAAGAGTGGTCACAGCGGGGTGCGTATTCCATTATCATAATCAAATTTCATGCAAAATTATTCTACCTTTCCCCACCAGGGGTGAGCGCAGAGACCCATTTGCTTCTGGAACACACTTTTTGCGGCCGTGACCTGCACGGATCGGCCAGGTCTCTCTACAGTGGACCCAGCCTGGTCCTGATGACCATGATGATGGCCAGAGCCTGCTTGAGCTTATTCATGCAATAAACAAATGATTCACAAAAAAAAAAATAAGTTAAAAAAAAATGTATGATGGGCTCTTAGATCGGAAAACTATTTTTTTGCTCGACTGCTTCAGCAAAAATAGTGCTTATCTGTACTTGAAATGATTACATAGAATTAAAAATAGTTTTTGTCACACTGCAAATGTTCATTGAGGCGTTTTGAATCCCACTAGATTTCGAGGCAGTTTAAAAAAAATGTGCAAAAAGCTCATTTATTTCAGCATAAGTCACAGAATTAACCTCTGCACTAAAGCCCATCTGTGTCCTTCCTGTCTTTAATAAATTAAATTTAAACGACATTTATTTTGTCTTAACTTCGGTTTGAGTCAAATATTTTCTTTATATCTTCTGTGCGCACGCACGAGTTTAATATAGGGTATTCGGATTAAATTGCGTTTGTGGAATATGAATTAAGTAGCTAAATCGACCTTTTTTTTTAATCCATCTCAGGGGACGGCCATTTTGCTACTTGCTCCTGACTGAAAATGACGTTACAGTTGCTCAGGGCTCAGCTGACGCTCAATCACGGCTCACCTGTTTTCTGAATTTGCTCGTGTGACGTTTGCAAGATGAGGCTTGGTCGTTACCTGCCTCCTGAAAATGGACAACAAAGGGTGGATTTTGCTGCTTAATTCATGTTGCACAGACGCAAGATTAATGAGAATACAGCATTTATGCTAGTGGGGTGCATCAAAAATATTGTTAAAAAAAAAAAAAAAAAATGGGGCTTCCATTTCTTTATTATAACAAATATTCAAATAGCAAACAGACGACATTAAGAAAGCAAATAATTTAAAAAGAGAAACAATGACTCAACTGTGGCAACGGCCTCTTCCCGACACGTATTCTATCAGTTTCTGTGAAGTCAGACAAAGCGTTAACCATGTTCAAAAATAAGAAAACCGAGCATGCTGAGGAGACACTCACGGAAAGTTCCTGCACTCGACACAGCGCCACGTCGTCCAACAGGTCGAAGTTGATTTGGTCCTTGGTCGCTTCGGAAAAGCACATGGTCTGCCATCAGGTAGAAACAGACGAACAAACGTGAGCGCCACAGAAGGTAGACTTGTGACTTTTGTCTTGCAAAGTGGCTGCTCGTTGACCCCCAGTGGTCACCTGATCCCGGCCAGTACAGTACCTGTCCGCGCCCCGTGGTTACGGTGATGTGCGCTGTAGATCCAGCCACTGAGCATTCCAAATCCCCCGTGGAGACCACGGACCTAGAGAGGCAGAAAGAGTGAAGGCTTCTTCTAGGCTGGACAAGACGGCTTTGAAACAAAATCTCAGATTTGTCTTCACCACTGCATATTTGCTTTGTTTGAGTCTTTACTGGTGTCTGCTGCAAAGGTGGCATCACAAACATGAACCTGTTCTCAATTGCCTTCTCTGGCAAACCTCCTGAATACCTGAGTTTCTGTTTGGCTGACAAGTCGCTGGGCTTTGTCAAGCGGCGTCCTGCTACGGCGGTCGTGGATGCCCTACGGAGACACGACTTGAAATAGACCTTACACCCAAACACAGTACAGACACACTGCGAGACATACCTCAGATTTCCTGTGCTACTACTGCCGGTTGTAGGCTTACTTTCCCGTGCTCCTTTGCCCCCCTAAAACAACAACAACAATTACAAAAATAAGAAAAGGCACAAACAAACCAAAAAAAAAAAAAAAAACCCCACAAAAAAAAAAAAAAATGTTACGGTGATACACTCCGGCAAGTGTAGCATCTGTACCTTGGATGTCTTGCCAGAGTTTTTTCGAATCAAAAGGGATTGAACTGGTGCTGGATCAGCTGATTTTCCTTTAATCATGATTTTTAAAAGAAAGAAAGTTAAATATAGACTCAGAAATGTTTTATCTGTGTATATATACTGTATATGTATGTACAGAATGCACAAGTCTATCTTTATTGTACAGTGGACAGCAAAAATCTGCGTATATAATTAACACCCATTGAAAGTGCATTGGGGATTTTATTATTATTTTTTTAAACCCCCAAATTTTTCTTAAAACACAGATAATCTGTCGATTTGCATATTGCATAGAAATTCAGACTGGGGCGACATGGATTAGTGGTGGAGTGGTTGTTTGCCAACCCACAGGTTGGTGGTTCAATCCCCTGGCCATTGCAACCATGTCCAAGTGTCCTTGAGCAAGATACTGAAACCAGTTGCTCCTGATGCTGCATCATCAGTCGGTGAATGAGGTAACAGTGTAAAGTGTCTTGATTACCAGCACTGTATAAGTGATAGCCATCTACCATTTAAGTCATGGTCCAAATAAAAAGGCATCACCTCTTCTGCTAGGCACCCTCTTGTGGGTCAGTTGCTTCATCTCAGGGGACTCCCGCTGTTACAATCACACCACATAAACGACTTGTCATTACTTCTACTTGCCACTGGATGACATGGCAGCTAAGTCCTGAAGCCGCTCACCTGCACAGCTAACGACACCTCGCTGGCTGACATTTCTTCTGTCAAAAGGGAACAAAAAGAGCATGACGACAGTCTTGTGTGCACATACATGTGTACTGTAAATGACTTCATTGACTTACAGTACACCCACCACATCCAACATGGCGGAAACAAATCACAGCAACGGGCCAACCCGGACGTTGAGTGTGTCTGTACACTGAATAGAGACTGCGACTCACCAGTCCAATCCCCAACGCGCATCTTTCGAATCGAGGGCGGCAACTTCATCAGCTCCACTTTGAACACTTGGTCGATATTTCCCAATAAGTTGTCAAGTCTGCTCTCCAGTTCATTCATTCGCTCTTGCGCTGTGTGTCAAAGTTGAATAAAACGTTCACTGAGGCACCGACAATGAGTAAATAAGAGCCAACTTCACGTCGTCTAACCTTCTTTCTCAACTTGCTGAATGAAGAGAGTAATTTTGCGACCTCGTAATATCCTGCTTAACTCCTCTTGATTCTGGACTTGAGCTGGCTTTCTTGACCGCTTAGGAGCCATTCTAATCAGCCCTTTAATGTGAAAGACAGACATTTCCTGGACGCCATTTTATCTGTCAGGTTAGGCCGACGACGTAAGTATGAAGGGTTACTATTGGCTGATATCTTTGTCGTCACAAGACGCCCCAATAAGAACTGTAGCCATTGGCTGCCATAAAGTGACAGGTGTTTTTTTTTTTTTTTAACACGTCCCGACATTAACATTATTAATATATGACAACAAAATTGTGCAACACGCGGGTTGACTGGTTAACATGTCCGCCTCACAGTGCAAAGGTCCGGGATTCAATGGTTGTTTGTCGAGGTCTGCCCTATGCTGGACAATAAAATTGTCATAGAGATTTGGTTGTTTTCAACTGTATAAAGTTATTATATACTATATGAGAAAAATTCACGCACATTAAAAAAATGTAACTATCATTTTATAAGAATAACATTGTATATTTAAGAGTGAAAAGGCTGTTATTTAAAAGAAAAAAAATGTCAATGTTGACAGAAAATTTATTAACTCACGAGTCATTTTCAGGCCAAAAAAAAGCATGTTTATGAGGGGGACATCCATATATTTACAAGGAAAAAGACAAGGATAAAGTGGATGCATAATATCAGTCAGAGAGCGCGCTCTAGTCTATGTCGAGGTCAGAATCGTCGTCGTCGTCGCTGAGGTTGCTCTGAACGATGGCGCCGTTGCGGACGGTCTTGGCCAGGGTGGGGACCTTGTCAGGCAGCAGACCGTACTCCTGCAGCAGCGCTTCCACATCCACGGCGAAGAAGTCCTCACCGAGCTGGTCGGTGAGCCGTACGAAGTTGCCGATGAGCTCTCCGGCTTTGTAGACTAGCAGGGCAGGCAGGGCGCCATCCCGGAAGAGCGGACTGGTGCCGATGGCCGAGCTGCGCACGCTACAGAACTTGACCAGTGGATACTCATGCGCCAGGCACGCCAGGCTGCCGCTCATGGCCTCGCAGCCGGCCGCGCCGGGCTCGTAGATGTGGATCATGACTGGTGTGTTCTTGTCCTCCTCATCCAGTGCCTCCAGGAAGTCCTCGCCGCTGGCCAGCTCCTGGACGCGCTCAAAGCGCTTCCCACGGCATAGCTGCCGCCGCATCTCCTCCATGCGCTGCGCGCGATAGTGCTGCAGGAAGTCCTCATCGTCCTCTTCCTGCTGGAGCATGTTGTACTCCTGCATGGTCATCTGCGCGCACAAAATGTACCATCTGTACCGTGAATCTGCAGCAACATTGGCCTCTGGACCAATTGGGAATAGGAATCCACTGTATAGCTGTCATGTCTAAATGTTTTTAAAAAATGTATGCAACATAAAGGACAACAAGATTCGAGGAATTATTTTTGGAGGGCGAAAAAAAAAAGATGCATGTTTAACAAAAGAGAGTAATGTTTTGAAATGTGTCTCTCTGTTTAAAAGAGTTGCATTTTACACAAGACGGGGACAAACAAACACTAGTGCAAAAGTCACATCATCACGGCATGGCTTACTTTGCCTTTGATTTTGTCCTGCAGCTCCTTCTGCTTCTGCTTCTCTTTTTCCAGGTCCAGGTCGGAGCGGCACGTCATGGACAGCTTCTTGATCAGGCGTTCCATCTCCTTCTTCTGCTCCTGCTTCTGCTCCACCTCCAGTTGCTTGTACTTCCTCCAGTCATTGATGACACCCTTTGGTCCTGAATGATCAACAATAACCGCCGACATTCAATCTCACTTTTCATGCACTTTAAAAACACTTTAAAGACAATACAAATGCATTTAAGCTAGGCATGGCCCGATCTTAGGATTCTCATTGAATGGTTACTGTGAACAAAATATCGTCATATCATGGTTTTTAAACGACGGCTCTAAAATGTCAATTTTTGAAATGTTAAGGTAAATAAAAACAGCACTTTTATCCCATTGAACACGATTAAATTTTGAGCAAAATATAGAATAATTCGTACACTCAGACACATGCACCATGTTAAGTTTAAATTAAATAATTGTTAACATTCTTACGCTGTTTCAGTTCTTCTTTGTAGGTCACAGTGTCCCATCACAGGTGACCTATTTTTAGAACAGGCCCCTTGTTGTCCTTGGGGCTAACTAGTACCTCCTGGCATCATTTAATTAAATTTTATTAGATTAATGCGCATTAATCAACAGAGCAAAAAGGCATCCATGTTTGTACTGTCTCTTTCGTATTGGCCCCATTGGCCCCTCCCTCATCCTCTGTGCGTAACTGCTCACCCCTCTCCTCTTTCTCACCAAGGAGAACAAAAGCGATTGGCCTCTTTAATCAAAGACATGTCTGGTTTACTCAACTCTGCGGGCAGCCAATCAAATTGTGCTCTGCTTAGAAGGCTGCTCAAAAAAAGAAGAGCTTCTGACCGGTGATAGAGAGTATTAGTGGTTATCGAAACCTTGACTTTTGAAAAGTACGGTAAAACTTAACTTGTCATCCATCTCACAATATATCTCTTGTAACATCCCCAAACATGTAAACCAAAAAAATTAACCAACAGTCGTTGCTTTCTATAGGTGTAAAAAACAGCTACCTGTGTTGACCGCACTGCCATCCGCACTGTAGTCCAGCTCAGGCTCATTGGCGGCGCTGTCTCGGATGGCTTTGGTGTCCCTCTCATTGTCCTCATTATCGCTGCCTTCATCCTCGCTGCTGCTGTAGTAGTACTGCAGCTTCTCCCCCAGCAGCTTGTCGTCTAGCGTCGTCATGGCAATGGCTCACCCGATCGCCTATCAGGGCATAGTTATGACAGTGTGTTGGGTTAGGTTGAGATTTTTCAAGAATTAATACTGAATATTATAGAAAAGGTGAAACTTTTACATTTAATATATATGTTCATTTGGTGTAAAATCTAAAAAAAAAAGTGTTACAAGAATGAAACAACAGTTCAAGGAAAATAGTCAAAAGTAAAAGAAAAAAACAGGAATCAGAGAAAAAAACATTTGCAATGTCACAATCTTATGAGAAATTGTATCATTGTTGACAATAACAATAATTATACGTTCATTTATCATGATGATTTGTCTGATTTTATAAGAAATTTGTATTTCTACAAGAATAACATTGTAATATCAAGAGGAAAATACTTTTACCTTACAGCAAAAAAAACTTGTAAATTATTGTTGGTAAGTAAAGTTTTAAAACAACTGATTTTTTGGTGGCCGCAAGACTCGTCGACGGTCAGCGCATCTGACAATGGATGGACGGATTAATGATTTTTCGTGGTACGGATTCATAAATAAAACTAGATGAAGTGGTCAGATGGTATTTCGTTGTCAGTCATTTTGTCGACGTGAAAAAATACATTTTCACATTCAAGCTCTGTGCAGGTATCCTCGGGGTAAAGGAAAACAACCGAGTTATTAAGAAGTGGAACAACGTAAATGTGGGCTCGGTAAGCTTTAGCCACCAACTCCCGTTACATTTAGCTAGCTTTGTACACGGAAGTGAAATTTGTCTCGAGACTGGTCCCTTTCAAATACTATAAGAGTAGAGTGGATGTGCATGCAATCGGCTCTTACCTTGTAGTCTGAGCAATTAGTTATAGGTAAGTATACTGCCAGTCGTCCGTAATACTACTCTCAGCTAAGATGTTGCTAAGTCCCGTAAGCATCCGACTGTCACTGGGCGTGATGCATTCGTGACATTAACAGAAAATTCGCAATCGCAATGACGCGCATCGGTGAATGACGACTTTACACGTTTTACATGCACAAAACGTAGTCCGTGTCTATGTCTTCATATTAATTAACGTTGATATCTCAAACCTGAGTATCCATTCCGGATACTACACGACGGATATTGTACGTAAATTGTAGATACAGTATCTGTAATGACGACTCCCATGCACATAAAATGCAAAATCTGACTGAGACTGACTCTGTCCGTGTATGTAGATTATCGATCTGTAATGTAGACTGTAGATCTGTATCGACGAATCTCACGCACAATAATGGCAAAAGTGACGTTATTTGGCGAAATGACGTTGCGGGTATCGGAAATGCCGATTATGCATGAGAAAAAAGGGAGTTATCTGAGCAGCTCTTTTGACGAGGTGAAACTGATTTATGTCTGCAACACAAAACAATCGCTGTTAATTAAGTAAACATTAACAGATTAGAAAGTGTATGGATGGATAAAGTTTCTCCTCAACCTGGTGTACTTGAAGGCAACATGATGATGTCAGGCTTGGGGGCTTACCTTCACAGGCATTTCCAAATTCAACCAATAGATGGCAACTTGGTATAACACGTTACAAAGGGGTACTCGGTTTACGACTTGATTTCAATCCGTTCTTCTGCGCCGTAAAATAACATACGCTAACGCAAGTGCAACGTCAAACAACGCAAATCGGAAAAAAGCGCTATAGACCGTTCGTTGTGCGCAGTTCGTAATTTCGCAACCTATGTGTTCATTACGACGTATGTCGGGACTGTCGTAAACCGAGGACACACTGTACAGCACACGCCTTTGAACATTTCACAACCTGTGGGATATGTGTTGCATCTGCATTTCAGTTTTGACAAAAAACGCCCACTTCAAAAATCGCAACTACATTCAGATACTGTATTTCTGGCATTATGGAGGGAGCGTACTGCGTATTTCAATTTCTGGTTTATTTAAAAGGCTACACATTTCATTTCAAATTTTTTTGTACAAAATAATTATAAATTAATACAATAAAAACAATGTAGTCCTGGAATTAAATATTCTTAATTTAAAATGTTGGATGATTAGTTTCACGGTCTGAGCTCATTTTAGGTTCAAATAAAAACATTTTGTGTTAGTTGTAGATTAAATATGTGCACATCCCCCTTGAACGGCAACGATCTGTCTTGAGATAGCGAAAAGAGGAACAGCAACGTGACCCTGTGTGCTCTCGTGACCCTCCTCCCCACTTTATAGATATTAAATACATTACAATGACTGTTTGGAAAGCCTCGTAGGGCAAACTCTGCACATAGAAGGCCGAATCCAAACTGGAAGGCTTATAACGCGTTCACCAGGCGCTTGTAAAACTTTCAGAACAATACGGTAGGATCATCAGCTTTCAGCAAATATTTGTATGAAAATCACTCCTTGGCCATAAATATACAACAGATGAATTAAATACAGCTCATTGAATTCACGCGCCGTCCATATCATCTAAATGTATGTCGTATGGTCGTAACCGAGGAACCACAATGCATGTTCTGCTCTTATAACAATATAAATGGCCAAAGAGGACAGAGTTTAAAAAAACAAAAACAGACAGATACCCATTTAATAGAATTCAAATGAGGCAACAACAATTCAGCCTGTTTTTTATCAAAATGATCTGTTCTGTGAGATACTGCTTTTTTATCAACATTTCACATCCCGTGATTAAGTTCTCCAGTTTCGTGGCCGCTATCAGTTTTCCGTGTCTTGCCAAAAGAAACAATGCAGGCAGTGCATGGGGGGCCGGGAAGTTAAGGTACCGATGGATCGCCTGCAAAAAGTGGAGGATAATGAAAGGAACCCAAACAAAGACTTGATTCGTCTCCAATTTTAATTAATGCACTTTTAACGGCTGCATATCTACAGCTCATCTTGCCAAATTTTTTAAAACTGTCATTTGTAATGTTTTTGCCAGAAAAAAAGGACATGTACAGTCACAAATCAGAATACAAATGGTGACTTCCGTTCAAAGCAAGTCAAACAAGATCCAAAATAAAAACAAAAGAGACAAAACAGAACTTGTGGGAGGTCCTTATGTTTGTAGATCGGAGTACAGTTCCAGTAGCTGACTTATGTTCAAAAAGTCTACACAAGATGTGAGCTCATGTGCTTATATCTTCTTCAGGTAAAGTGTCCAATTGCTCCATCGCTTTGCAAACAGATCTTCCTTCAAACGTAAAACACGAGTCAGTCTTTCCATTGTCTATAGTTCCTGTGTGACATCAAACCACTGATTTTGCTTCGGCGGCTCAGAGTTATACCAACGTCTAGTTTCTGCAAGGAGTATCTTAACCAAGTATTGATCCCTCATGAGTGTTACAGTTTCAAGACAGCGCGTGACAACAGAATCTTATATTCAAGCACAATAATCAGGACTGCATGGACACGCACCCAAAATGCTTTCAGTTTTTCGCAACTCCAAAAAAAAATGTATGAGGTGTGAATCCAAGCAACCTCATTGTCTCCAATAAACCTGGTGTGCTGCGGATGTTCTACTCTGGATTTTAGACGTGCCAATTTTTTTTTTAAACTCTGTATGAAAGCTCTTCATCACAGCACTGCCAGACTCATGTTTGCAGGCAACCACCGTGCTGACTTTCCCACTTGAAGTTCCAAGTGTGAGACTGCAAAAAAAAAAAAAAATCATAATAATAACACGGCCGTGTGGAGGTGAACTGTGGATCCGGTGTCCAAACAAGCTGCTCTGCCTCTTGGGAGAACGGCTTGGATGTTTCAAGCCTATTTGACTTGTGTTTTAGGGGACTGCAGAAGCCCCTCGAAACACGTCACAGCTCATCCGCCCTGACGCTTTGCTCCTCTGGCGGCACTCGAAACGCCACGTAAGGGCACGTCCTGGAATTGAGGCACACCAGGTTCTTGAGCGTGGCCGAGTTGACGATGTCGAAGCCCACGCGGCCCCCGAAAGTGCTGGGCTTCCAGTACTCGGGGGAGCAGATGGGGTTGCCCAGGAGGCCTTTGAGGGAGAACGGCGCACCCATCTCCACCATGCTCTCGCCGAAGATGGCGCCCAGACGAGTCCTCTCCAGCAGCATGCCGGGGTAAAATTCAAGAGCGTCAATGTCGCCGTAAAACTCTTCCAGAGTGAGCGCTATCTCCTCGTTATCTGCCCCCAACCCCAAAAGATACAATCAATGACATCTTCAGTCAGTACACAAACCCTCGCTTTTAAAGCCAGCATATTGTTCAAACAGTGTAGCACAACACAATTAAATAATGAAGTTAAGCGGCTCCCAAATTAATTCAAAGCTTTTTTGGAGTCGTTGGAGGTTAAACACAGTATAACAAGCGCCAACACCTTCCTGTTATTCCTCTGTACGGTAATTCACATCATGACACACACTGACAGTAATTATCAACTAGGGTTGGGCCACTTCCTCGTGGGGTGTCAATGTATTTTCAGGCTCGTCACACTCCCTTGTCAAATATGTCGATTACATCCATTTCGGCGGGCGGGTCACTTTGCTTTGCTTTGCTCACCTGTGAACTCTCTGAAGGAAGCGTACGGCTTGAGATTAAAGCGTTTCCTGTACTCGTTGAAGGGCTGCATGCGGAGCTGCCGCGACTCCTTGATGGTCCTCACGGCTACCGGCGTCACCACAGGATTGACGTTGTGGCCCCCGCCTATCTGCGAGCAAAACAAAACACAGATCGGACCACCGTAGATCGCTAATTTTGTCCATTGGACAGCACATAAAAGAGCCCAAAACCGGAGAACTGGTCAATTATTCGAGCGAGAGGTGAGATAACCCCTTGACTGGTGCCCTGCCAATCACAGTGATGCAAACCAACACAGTGAAGCTCATAAAACAAAGAGCCAAGTCATTCCCGACTTCAAAAGGTGAAGAAACAAAGCCTCAGCGCCATTGCCAAAAAAGCTTCACTCTGGTATTTGACTATTTATTCAGATCGAATTACCTTGCCGTCTGAAGGATCGTTACCTGGCCGGCCACTTGGCGGGAGAAGGCGTCCACCAGCTTGTCCACGCCGTAGTGCGTGAGCACGGACGTGTTGAAGAGGAACTGCGTGTAGACGAGCTCGTCCCCGTTGATATGGAAGCTATCGGGCATCAAGGGGTGCCAGTGGTAGAGCTGGCTGAACTCCAGGGCGATGCGGTTCCCGTACTGGAACTGGGCGTGAAAGAGCAGGGTGGGGTCGAACTTTAACTGCAGCAGGTAGCCGCTGAGGTGCTGAACATATTCTTCGATCACTATTCGGATGGTCTCACCTGGGGAGGGCAAGAAGTGTGATGAAAACCCTATAAAGGGAGGTGGGGGGGGGGGCACTAAATGTACATACATATTACAAATAACACAAAGCAGCGGTCCAATCACAAAATTCATATAAAGTCGTCGTGATCATTCAAAGTTAACATAAACTTGACCTATAAACCTTCAATTTTAGTTTCATTAAAAATAAAATGTAAAAAGAAACGTGCAAGTGGCTCACCAATGATGATGAGCCGCGCGGTCTGGAATAGCTGCTCGTCATCCCAGCTGGGATGCTCCGCTTTCAGGACGTCGCAGACTCGGTTGTGCTCCCTCAACCACAGCGTGGCATACAATCCTAAGCCGGGGAGAAGTCCGAATACTTCATGGCCGATAGCTAACTGGTCCTTGGGGTCCACACCTGGGGGGTAGCTCATCTTGATGGGGGCTTCGGCTACAGAGGGAGGGTACATCTCGCCATCAATCAACTAATGGGGAAAATAATAGCACAACAAGGACCTAACACTTAACATGCATTTTCACTTTTTTTTTTTTTAATAAGCTAACTAGCAGGTAGCAGCTAAAGCAAACAGTAAAGCTGTACTCCACCTGATATTTAAGTTTTCCATCTTTTAAAAGCCGGAGATTCAGTTGCCGCTCCAGGTTATCTCCGTAAACGTGTCCCGCATCCACCTGCACAACAGATATTATGCTAAAATGACACATTTTTTTTCATCACGTTTATAAATGAAGTCTCAAATAATGAAAATGGAGTTTTCAAGAATGATTCCAGCAGTTGTACAAAACAAAGATCCAAGTTGGAGTACGAAAAATGTTATGACCAAATTTGACAAGAATATTTTTAAGATTATGAGAGGGATGATGGATTTTTACCCGGAAAAAAAAGATATATTACAAAAAAAATTGGAATATCAAAACCAAAAAGCTCAAATTTTACAATGAGTGAAAGGCAAAATATTACAAGGACAAAAATGCTCTTCTATGATCTAACATCCACATCACACCAGCAGCCTGATTTCATTTTCCACAATCTGTTAATTAGGGCGTTCCCCAAAGGTCCCTTCTTGCCACCCTTTCAGTTCACATTGAGCCATCTTCTACTTAACTACTAATACACTAAACATACGCCCTCCATCCCCCCCGTGAACTAACCCCATGCGCAAGGGCCTTTGTGAAGCCCAGGCCCATGCGGTTGTAGGTCTTGAAAAACTGGTGTGTGAAGTGCTGTGCAAAGAAGGCGAACATGAGGTTGGAGCCCTGCGGGTCAGGCCTGAATGTCCTTCTTTTTAGCAGCTTCTCCACTAGCAGCTCAGGGTCAGGCAGCCCAGCTTTCCCTAATGAAAACAGATGTCACAACTTTTGAGGGCTTATTAAAAGCAAACACAAAAAAAATAAATAATGTTCCACCAGGTGATGTCCTAACCTTTGACACCCAGAGGTGTCGGGCAGTCTTCTGGCACTGGCGGAAGAATCCGAGTGTAGTAGCTTAGGTTGTAGTAGGACTCCCAGCTGAGGTAACCGTATTTTGAATTATACGTTGGAGGGCTGGGAATTAAGTTGGACCTCACTAATCACACACACATATATACAAAAATATGTTTGAAATGTCTCAAATCATTTTAAAAAGTTTCCTGTTCCGGGGGGGCTCGAGACCTGTCAGGACAAGCCGCATCAGAACTTCCCGCAGGAAGGTGTTGTTGATGACGTCCCAGAGCCAGCGGAAGTGGGTGAGAATGTAGTGCACCGTGTCCGCTCCGGGCTTCAGGAGGTCACGCACCCGAGTCCAGAACTCCGCTGTATTAATACAACAAAGGGTGATCAAGAGTGAACGATCAGCATTAAGGGCAGGGTGGCCAGTGCCACACCAGAAATAAGACAATAGAAAAGATGTTTTAAAAATCATATTAATGCTGTTTTTGTGTTTGTCTCTTCCAGTTCAATTTGCATTTTGCATTTTGTTTTTTAAACTCAGCCCCCAAAGTCAGTTTCACTGAGCGACATGACATTTTTTGGTAGACTTGTTGATCATCCTCAGCATCCAGCTCAAGAAACTTTGCCATTTTTTTCTGAGACTATATTTCCTTGATCTCAAAATTCTTCCATAAGATATTGGACCAGATGACGCAATCGGACCCAGACTTCAACCGGACCTATCCTGGCACCCTGCCAACCCAAACACTGCAGCACTCCAGCATTAAGAGCTCAAATTTGGCCCAAGTGTCGGTATGCGTTACACAACAGAGGGGCGATGTGAGGGCTTCCTTGTTCGTATGAAGCAGAGCGGCAGAGTTGCTTTTGGTCGAGAACAGTGGTGGGCAAAGAATGACTCGCACGCTACATCTGGCCAGCACCCAGAATTGCCATTTCCCAGAATCCTGGAATATTTTTACAGCAATTAGGCCTCTTTCCCTTTAATTGATTCATTCATTAAAATGTTATTGTCATTGATTATTCATTCATTTATGTTAGAACATTGGTTCATCTATTTCCTTTAGGTGAATATACTTATTACTTAAAACTTACCCACATATGACCTGGGCCATCTGTCTGTTTTAAAAAAATAATATGCGACAGAAAAGAGGTTTATATTTTGATGTCAATATAATATTTGAACACAATGTACTTTCACTTTTTTTAAAAGATACTATTCAGGACCCCTGATGTGGCATATTCTCTTGTGATTTATGGACATAACCTGAATTTAATGTAAAACACCGTATGTGCCTTGGCTCCAGGAAGGTTGCGTCTCGAGAACACTGTAAGGTGTACTACACGCTCTTACGTTCTCATTTTCAAGTGGTAAGCCCCCCGCTTCATACTCTCCATCTGGGATAGTTCAAATTCCTCTCTTTCCCCAAAGAGGATATGAAGAGATGTCACAGATGCAAGGCGTGGGGCTGCGGGGGGGGGGGATGAATGGACTCACGGATGGTGCAGTTCTCCCCATGGTAGCCGGTGCGGGTGCAGTCGCACTCGTAGCGATTGTCTGCGTATCTTACGCACACGCCCTGGTGCTGACACGGCAAGTAGCAGCACGGGTTCACTGCGGAGACAAGTGTCAACAAGTGTCAGTGTCACCTATTCAAACCTAAGATTCTTTTATTTAAAAAAAAAATATACATAGACACAGGTGTGATTCCCTACATCTGGTTTATTAAAAAAAAGACTTAAAGGCTGTAAAAGTCATTAAACAGCGAGTACTGGATGGATCTTGGCTGTGGAAACCACTTGCCAAATACATGACGTAGTATCATACTGAATCTACTTCCTTTGGGAAAGTGTCTCATTCTTGGTGGAGCTATAAGATGTGACTGCCGGTGTCACCGCGATGCACCGCCGTTTGACAACTGTAAATATGGCACACTGAGAGCAGTTACAAACCGTGGACTTTTGATGCCAATGAAATGACTTAATCTCTCCAATAATTAGATCACGTGACGTAAAACAAACCCGGGAAAGACCTGATGCTCAGAGCCAGAAATAAAATACACCGTGTGTAGTGTGTTTATCTTGACAGATATACTGTATAAACTCTTGAGTCAGAACCCCGTAGGGGAGAAAAAAATAGGCTAAGGGCTCCATGTTACTGGAGCACAAGCAGAGAAATTGCATGTACGAGAGTGTGTGTGTCATAGACACGACCCAACAGGTGGAATAAACAGACCAATGCTGCTAAATTATTCCTAATTGCTTTCAAATGTGACACACTGCTTGTACAGTGCAGACTCAATGGGGAAAAAAAGCGCCAAGAGCACTCTCTGCAAACGAGCTTCAGCATGCCCCTCTCGGCCCCCATCCTTGCCAAAGACACTCAGCAGACCTCATCCGCCTGCTATGTGAACTCGGCCCACGCCGTCTAAATGCGACCAGAGTCATTTTACAGATTGTGTGTCAGAACTGGCGGGAAAATAGCTCAGAGCCAAATGTGAATGGCAGATGACATGATACGGAGCGGAGCACAAAATGTACCGCTGTTTTAATCTTGTGAAGAAGATAACCTTGGAAGGGAATGAGACTAAGTTTAAACTGTTTGTTCGTATGTTTAAGAGCTGATAACACCCATCCTATTGTGTGTGTGTGTGTGGTGGCATAAAAGGTTGGCCGGTCACTACACTGGTCAAACCGCATGTCTGACCATAAAGTCGCGCATGTAAAGTGTTTGGTAACAAGAACAACATGTTTCTACAGCAACTCATCCTTCCCAGAGGGGGTTTCATGTGGACAGAAAGCAGACGTCATTGATGATGTGATAAACCCAGCACTCCTCAATAAGACTTTAGAAATAATTCAGTAAATTGTAATTAACTCCGTTGTTAACATTTGAGTACTTACACACACATTTAATCACACGAACGCTGAGTTTCCTAAAAGTCACTATGCATGACATTTTTTCCCATTTTTTTAATATTAATTTTTTCCCCCCTCACTTGAACAGTCTTCCAGAGTATGTACATTCAGTTCACCCAGCATTGGGGGTGAAATAACCTTGGCGGGATGTACTTTAGTTACCGGTAATGTTTAGTTTCCACAATCGGCCCATTATGTCAAAGATGTCGACGCAAATGGACAAAAAGTGCGCATATTGACCGAGTAAACTTTCGCCTACCTGTGTCGGACATCACCTCATCCCCACTACACGCAGGTTCCCGCAGCAATAGAAGAATGCAGAAGTATCCCAGGATAGAGGCTACACACCGGGCAGGAAGACGAGAGGGAGAAACCGGGTGGGATTACGCGTAAGGATATCACGTTTGTAACTTCTTTTCGAACTTACAACTCATCACAGCAGCTCAGCGCGATGTCATTCCAAGAACGGGGAAACACGACAGCTTCAAATCCGTCGCTGAGGAGTCGAGCCGGGGGAGCGAGAGCTCGTGAGTGGGCTGGTTTAGCTGCGGTGTGCGCGGGAAGTAACCCGCCGTGGAGAGCTTTCACCTGCGGGCAGAGAAAGTAAGGAGATGAGCCGGGGGCGCTCCCGGCGCTGGTTGGCTAACTGAACTCACCCCCTTGGTGTGCACGACATCGCCCCCTGCCAGCAATCACGTAGCATGACATGAGCGAACACCTGAGCCACGAGCTGTTGCCAGATAATGACATCACAGTATAGGTAACGAGTAGACCAATCATGGCTGAAACCCCAAAACAGATAAGCTGTGATTGGTTGTTGCCCTTAGGTACTGTGATGTCATTTTTAATCGACAGAAAGCGGCAAGATATCCGTGAGATGGATAAAAACGTGTGGATTTTGTTGCTTAATATTCTCCCAAAGCAACAGTAAACAGCATGTGAACATTTCTGGCATTTCCTCAGTTTCGTTTCTTTTTTTCTAAAGCAAAATACCAAACACGAAATATCACTCTGAAGAGCTCGAGAGTCTATTGGAATTCTATTTACATGAGCTGCCCAGGACATTCAAACATTCAAAAGTAATGGGCCTCAAATGGCAAGAGTCCAAATTGTGGCAGAAACCTTGACCAGAAATTGTTTTTACAAGTAAAGAAATTACATCAAGATTCTCAAGAACCTTGATGATTCAGATGAACAAAAAGATCTCTTGTGGTGAATCGGGTCCACCTTGACCAAAGTAAGGCAAGGATGTCTGATTTTGCTGAGAAGAGGAAAATACCATAACTGTAATTCATCCATCCATTTTCTGATCCGTTGATCCTCACAAGGGTATGCCCAGGACCTTGAGCCATTCTCAAATGTCTTCGGGTAGTAGGCGAGGGACACCCTGAATCGGTTGCCAGCCAATGGCAGGGCACACATAGACAAACAACCATTCACACTTACACCTTGGGAAAATTTAGGGTGTTCCATTAACTTGCCATGCATGTTTGGAATGTGGGAGGAAACCCGAGTACCCGGAGAAAAACTACGCAGGCTCAGGGAGAACATCCAAACTCCACACAGGAAAGCCGGAGCCAGAATCGAACCCTGCACCTCTGCACTGTGAAGCCAACGTTCCAACCATTCACCCACTGTGCCACCCATAATAATAATTCAACCATGTTATATCCATTTCAAATACCGATCCAACAAGTAGAAACCCAAATAGATAAAGCATAACGAGGATTTTTTTAAAAAAAAAGGAATTTTATGGAAAAAAAGGGAGATGGTGGGAGTGAAAGTTGACTGAATTTTAAGCATTGCAGGCCAACTGTTAAACATTACAGCAGTTGGGCAAGGGCCTCACAGGCTGGCGTCAGAGCCTCAAAAAAAGCTTAAGACCTGCAAAGAATACTGTGTTATCATTAAAGTTCTTTAGGCTTAACTTTTCCAAGTCCTCAAAAGTGGACTGAATAAATGCTGTTGCGGGAAGACCACCCTCAAGTTTTCCAGTTGCAACAGAAAAAAAATTCCAGTTCTGCCTCATGCCATCATGGGAGAAAGATGAGGATTGTTTGGATTTTGTATAAATATTTAAGAGTTTTTGTTGTGAGGGATGTCCAGAAGCAAGTGAACTTGGACAGACGCACATTTGATTTGCGATGTTATTTTCAGTTGACTTTGATGCTACTGAAAGCCTCACACAAATTAGTTTCCTCTAATCATTTATGTTGCTCATATTTAAAGAGAGGGAACAGGTGGTCTTGCTGTAGAAGTATAATCTCCTTTCAAGAGAAAAAAAAAGTTCAATTTCATCTGGAACAAGACAAGAACGAGCTTTGTGTGTTGGTCACATTTATTTAAACAAAAATGTGTCTTTTAGGAGGAGCTGGAGGCCGCCACCGCAGCACGTCTGGGCTTGGGGGTGGTACCTTCCCGGAAACCATTCCTGGAAAATTTCAAGAGAAAACAAAAAAAGATGGCACACGATTCAGATAGCTTCCAGAATATGTGGAAAAAGAGTTTCCAAAAGGCGCTTCAATGTGATATTTACATTAATTTGAGACAAATGCCCGTACTAGGCACCTCTCGTGATGTTTAACTTGCCTCAGAGACTTGAAAAGGAATCACTCTGATTTCATATGTTCAGACATTTATTGTTCACCATCATTGGCAAGAATCGCTGATAAACATCATTGTGGTAAAAGGTAGTCACATTTCGATTCGACCAATTCCCTAAAATGATAGCTGACATTGACTGAAACGACAGCGAATGCAGTCCTTTAACCAAATATAAATTTGAATATATTGTACTCGGTTGAGCCATCACTTCAAACCACTGTAATTTCAGTTTTACAGATGCCACCGAATTCCCGTGGTAAAAGTATTACTTATTCATCTCAAGGGGATGACAAACCTGAAAATGACACCACAGTTGCTCGGGTAACAACCAATCACGGCTCAACTTGCCAATGTTACCCGAACAAACTCCGACAAGTGAGTTGTGATTGGTCGTTACCCTAGCAACATCAATGTTATTTTCATTCGACATCAAAAGACATAAAGAATTGGATTTTGCCACTTGATTCATATTCCATAAATGCAGTATTAATCAGAATAGCGTGTTTAGACTAGTGAGGCCGAACACTGATCAAGTACTGCTTAACTATCAATGTCCCATGTGAGTTAATCTTACCTGAACCGACGGTGCACAACCTTGAGGTGCCTCAGACGACCAGTGCCAGTGGTGTTCCTCCTCTTGGCCTTTGCGCTCCAGTTGTCTAGAAAACAAATCAATTTTTAAAAAATTAAGTGTCTAGTCTGTCATTTATTTTCACAAGTCACCCCATAGCTCTCCACGTAAGAAAAAAATGTCAACTTACACTTTCTCTTGCGCTTCTCGGGGTAGCCACACTTCCCACAGGAGGACTTCTGCAGGTGGTAGGCTTTTGAGCCACAACGACGGCACAGGGTGTGCGTCTTGTTCCTGCGCTTACCGAAAGAGGATGTTCCCTTCGTCTAGAAGATGACAATTAAAAATGAATTGGCACCAAATCCCAAGCGCCTCACTACCAGTCCAGCTCTGGAGGTCTTGTCTCAGTTGAAGGAATGATTGAATCATATAGTATTCATTGGTTCAGACATTTTAGAACATCACAGACAAGACTAGATGCAATTGAAACGTTCCGCGCATCACTGCAACAATGACATGCATCATATTTAGTCCAAAAATAGGACTTTATTCAATTCGAAGACTTTAGTGTGGCCCGAACGTCAATGCTAAGGAGCCGGCTAGCTACTTCCAGAACTAAAACCTTGAAGTTGTCAAATATCCACTTTATTTACAACAAATACATCACTCAAAAAGCAGCTAAGCTTAGCCGACAACTAAACAGTCGTGATCTGTAAGCGATGAGCTGCACGCTTCCAAGATGTTTCGAGATTTTAGCTGTACAGCATTGCCAGCTTACCATTGTCGCACAGCGGCCGAGGGATAAGAGACCGGAAGAGAGGCCAGCGCGCTCTCAAATTACATCCGTGCTTGTTTCTGTGTCACGCCGAAAAGGGTCCGTTGTTCAAATTGTTGCTTTTGTTTTAAACTAATAATCTACCCATAAAACATTTTTTATATTACACACTCATTATCAAATACTGAAATGAGGCAAAACGGAGCCAGTGTGTAGCGCCAAGTCCATGTTATTTGTTGAAAACATTTCAACAAATAACTAGTTCCCATTTCTGAAGTTGTGTTGTCATATAAACTGTGTGTGTGTGTGTGTGTGTGTGTGTGGGTGTGTGTGTGTGTGTGTGTGTGTGTGTGTGTGTGTGTGTGTATATATATATATATATCACAATTATATTTATCAACAAAAACTAACAGTCACATTTTATGAAGAGGCAACGTCTTGAACTGCAATTTATTCGAGATATTTAAAATAAATTAATACACTAGAGTACACAACGCAATGGGACTGTGACAAAATAAACCTCAAAACAGTGCCTATTTTTTTTTGTTTAATTTCTTTAACTGGTACAAAATATCCACCTAAAAATATACAAAATGCAGCAAAAAAATATCAAGTATTGTGCAGTCTTGTTCGCCATCAAGTTCCAATGACCAGGGAACGGGCAGGCAACTTGTTGAGCATTTGAAGCTACAATTAAAGATTGCTTGTCCTCCAGTGAGATTTTGCGAAAAAGCTCGTGAGCTGGTCAAAAATCCCACCCCCCTAAAGTGAATTGAAAAGAAATAGCAGCCAAAAAACAAACAAACAAAAGTGAATAAATAAATAAACAAATAAATAAATAAATAGAACAGGCTTTTGTTGCCTTTGCTTTTCATCCATCCCCTTCCCTCAGCGTTTTTTCTTATTTACGGTTGTGGCTGAACTGGCGCCTATCCAAGCTGACTTTGAGCAAGAGGCAAGATTCACCTTGGACTGATTGCCAGCCAATCGCAAGGAGCAAGGGGACAAACAACCATTCACACTCAAACAACAAACTTTTTTTTGTGTCTTTTTTTTTTTTTTTTGGTCAAACATCAGAATCATTGCCATGAGAAAACACAGCGTCTCAAAAAGGTCCAACTTTGTCACAACTTGACAATCAGTCCATCAGCTATGCGCCAAAAAGAATGCGGGAAGGACCAGTACCTAAAACAAATGTGACATGCAGAAGTATCATAAATAAAAACAAAATACTGCATTTGGCTAGCGCAGTGTTTCGTATTCTATGGCGCAGTGATTCCCAGCAACTTTGCCAGATCACCAGGTGTTGATTATTTTTATGTTCATCTATGCCAGCGCCATATATTTACAGGCAGACAAATTCCACTACATGGCTGAAGGTAGAGTTGACCTGTGTATCCATTCATAAAAGAGAATAATAACTTTGTGGCAAGTAACTTTGTAAGTAATTTGAGGAATCATATTTTCAGTATACAGCTCTCGAAAATTGCAGGTTTCTCTGAATATGCAAGTATGTGTGAGTTAAATTAACATGTTGGTTGTATTCTATAAACTGAGGCAAAAACTGCCAAATTCCCAAATATAAATACTGTAATTTGAATGATCTATATGTAGACAACTGATCAAAATGCCCCCCAAAAAAGTCCCATATTTTTAAATTTTTTGGGGGGCGTGCGGTGAGATTTTCTCCAGTAAAATAGGTGCCTAGCCTTAACAGAGGTTGGGAATCACTGCACTAACGTCACCAGCATTTAAAGGTCAGACTGGTTGACTACAAACAAACAAATGATCATTTCAAAGT